CTGGTTTATCTCCAAAAAAATTTATCACAGCATCCCACTGTTCCAAAATCCTTGTTATAGATTCTAAAAGAGACAACCATCTCGTACTGCAATATTTCAAAATTTTATGAGATTTTGCATTCTGTCCCAAAATTGTGTTGAGCAACTTTGAAGCTATGCTTCCGTTTCGAACTTTTCTCCAAGTAAAAATATATATCTATTATCAACATTTCAATTTCTGAGCCAATTAATTTTTCAGTAGCTTTTTTGCAGCTATATGCAAGAGGTGGCACGGACAACCTCGGGTGATTATACTTGGTTGATGCATTTGATAAATGATTGCTACACCTTTAAACTTTCATATTACTAGCATTACCTGAAGAAAATGATAAGCAATTTTTCCATTCTAAACCTTTGTTTTTAAAGTTTTCATTTATACAATTAAAAATACCTTCTCCTGTATCATTCGTGCATTCTAAAATAGAAATCATGAAGAAGAATAATTATCACTCCCTTTTCTTTACTGTAGTATGTTATAACCAATGGGTACAGTTTGTTATCATTGTTATCATTACTTCCATCAGTACTTAGAGAAAATGATGTACTGCACACTGATTTTATAATATCAGCAACAGTATTTTCTGCAAGCGTTTTCACAATTGCAGCAGTTTTGGTATGACCGCAGCTAAATTTTTTTGCTATGGCAGAATCCGGAAACATTGCTTTGAAAAGCTCTTTGGAATGATCCGAAACAGAAAGCGGTAGATTATGTTCAATTAAAAAATGAACAAAATAATAGCATTCGGCTTTTATAGGATCTGTTTCATCATCTTTTATTAAGAAATTTGTTATTTCTTTAGATTTTACGGTGCCAAGTTCTATATGCTTTTGAGAAAACACATGCCGTTTACAGTCATCTTTTCCGCCATGAGCAACTGAGAAGTCTTTGTTGCATACACTGCACTGTGCGTGATTCACAGAAATTTCGGACGCTTTAATGCATGGAAATTCTGAAGAATATGAATCTTTAAACTTCTGTTTGATAATTTTGGCTTCTTCGTTCGAGGCAGCATTATGATTAAAAATCTTTCACCTGATTCACAGTTCACAAGACACACGCTAGCTCTCTAGCTCGTCGCCGTAAACTACACAATGCAGCCGAATGCAGCCTAAACACGCATCAGCGAGGAACCTGGGAGACAGACAATTGGGTGGAACTATTGATAAGTCGTTAACGGTTGGAGTTACTGATCTACGATTGGCTAATTCTTCAAAACTAGGAACGCACTCAACACGTGATATATGATAACACAAGTATTCAGCCAATCATCGGATGAATTAGTTGGTTCCGTTTTGCGTACTGGTTCTCCTGCTCTTGTTTCTGTAAAATCCGTAGTTTTTTCCATACTTTTCGTAGCTTATAGTTTTTCATGAATTTCTGTAGAAACTACGGAGAATTCGTAGTAGTTGGAGTCTATGAATATATCGGCAAATAATAATATATAATAATAAAATAACATATCGATGAAGAAAAAAATGAAATGTTTACTGCTAAGTAATTAACAATAATTTATTCAGTGTTGTTAGATTATTCACAGCGAGCTGACACACACACACTACTTAAATTACAAATGCGTGTGAGTAGCTTGCGTTCAGCTACCTTCGGCTTTTGGGGGACATGTGCACTCAGAACTTGTACGCATCCCTCGATAGCCGAACTCATGGTCTCAGTTTTCCAATCATAGTTTTGTACGATATAATGGTGCATGCATGTGCATGCACTTTGCTTTATTATTAATTATTACTTAATTCATATTGTTACGGATTTCATAGTTATTTATTTAGTTAGTTTTTTTATTTAGAATTGTAATTAGATTTGCTTCATTTTGCCTTAGCAACGCAGACGATTTTTGAAAAGACAGCTGCGTTGGAAGATTAAAAATAGAACAACGCGTGCATTTAATACCTAATAAATAAATATCTCGTAATTGCTGTTGCTATCCACAAAAATCCAGATATTTATAGATGTTTCCAGTATATTCGAGAAATTAATTATAAAGCTCATAAAAGCTGAGAACAAATAACTCATCTCAGTAGTAGCTGTAGTTCTAGCGAACTGTTTGTTTACTTAATGCTATGATTGATTTGTAGCGATTTCGCTGTGAGATAGAATTAGTTTCTCTGTTTTGAATTGATTTTTGCTAAACGTTTGACATTTTGTGATATTGTTAGAATATTTTTGAAGAAATATTTCAGCATTTTGATTTATCTCTTGTGGAAAGAATAAATTTTTGTTAACTTTTAACGTTAACCGTGTTTATTCCAGCCCTTTGTATTCAGTATGTCTATATCAAAACCAAGTGGTAGTAAAATTAAACGAAAAATCGCTGACGAACATAGAATATTCCAAGTAAAATGGGAATTAGAATATTTTTGCTGTGAAATAAAAGATAAAATAATCTGCTTGATATGTAATAATACTATTAATGTACCAAAGTTATATAATATTGAACGTCATTACGAACAACACAAATCGAAATATAACAATTACGAAGGATTAATGAGAGAAGAAAAGCTGAAAGAGCTCAAGTTAGGAGTGAAAAAGCAACAGTCCATGTTTAGTAAAGTATTGCAAGAAAGTGAAGTGGCGGTACATGCAAGCTACATCTTGTCCGAGTTGATAGCTAAACATTCGAAGCCTTTTACTGACGGTGATTTCATCAAGGAATGCCTAATGAAAGCTGGAGAAATTGTTTGTCCTTTAAATGTGAAGGCTTTTCAATCAATTTCATTGTCTCGAAATACAGTTGCAGAAAGAGTTACTGATTTAGCCGCGAATTTAAGTGATCAGATCAAAGCAAAATCATCTAGTTTCGAAAGTTTCTCCATTGCCTGTGACGAGAGCATGGACATTAGTGGCAAAGCTCAATTAGCAGTGTTTCTTCGTTCTTGTGACAAGAATTTTAACATTTTTGAGGAATTACTGGAACTAATACCGATGCCTGGTACTACCACAGGAGAAGATATATTACTTGTGTTTTTGGACTTCTGCAGAAATACAATCTACCTTTGGCAAAATTAAATTCTGTAGCTACAGATGGTGCTCCATCAATGACCGGGGAAACAAGGGCTTCGTAGCATTACTAAGAAAAAACTTAGTGAAATTCACGGTTCAAACATTCATCATATGCCATTATTATACATCATCAAAAGTTCTATGCACGAAGTAATAAATATGGAGAATGTTTTGTCATATATAAAAAAAGTTATAAATTTTATAAGATCTCGAGGTTAAATAAAATCAGCATCAATTCACTGCTTTCTTAAGTGAGTTAGATAGTGAATATTCGTGTTTGTCCTACTATACTATACCGAGGTACGTTGGTTATCTTGCTCCAAGATTCTCAAACAATTCTGGGATTTGAAAGAAGAATATGTCAGTTTTTAAAAACGAAAAATCAAGACGTAAGTTTGTTTTACGATCCAATATGGATACAAGATTTATCTTTCTTGGTTGATATAACCAAACACTTAACCGATTTAAATTATCATTACAAGGAAAAGATCACATCATTACGAACATGTTTGACATAATTAAAGCATTCAAATGTCAATTAGTTCTTTGGGAAAAACAACTTAAAAATGAAGATTTGACGCACTTCCCGACGTGCAGCATGAACAAATCAAGTTTAGATGATACTTGTTCATATCAAAAATAAGCAGAAAAAATTGCAAATTTAACAACTGAATTTGAAACGAGGTTTAATGATTTTAGTTCCCTCGAAGACAAATTTTTTTTGTTTTCTTCGATTTTCTCAATAAGTATTGACTCAGTACCCAGCCATATGCAAATAGAGGTGATCGAGATTCAATGCAACTCAAATTTGAAAGCAAAATTCATTGAAGTGGGCATGCCTGAATTTTACAAATATTTACCAACCAGGTTTGAAAATACTCGAAAATTCGCATATGAAATTATTTCCATGCTTGGTAGCACTTATCGGTGTGAGGAGTTATTTTCAGTCATGAAAGGTAATAAGTCTCCTATTAGAAACCATATTAATGACGCTCACCTTGGGTCAGCGTTGAAAGTTATCACTGCAAACCAAATTTCTCCCAAAATAGGAAAGATAATAGCAGAGAAGAGATGTCAAGTATCAGGACGTAAACATTAAATTTTTCTTGTTCTTTTCTATATATTAAATATATATATATATATATATATATGTTTATTATTGTATTATTTGAAATAAATCTAAGTTTCTATGAATATTGATTTTTTTTTTCGGCCCGCCTAAAGTTAAACCTTGTTTGTTTGGCCCAAGTGTACCTATGAGTTTGACATCCCCGAGATACAGGAAAAGGCTAAATCTATTATAATATATTTCTGGGCAAGATTGGGGAGCAGATGCCCCAACTTTGAAACTAAGTTATACTTCCCTTATTAGACTTATCTCGGAATATGGTTTCCCTATTTCTTTCTGTGCCGCAAATTCTAATCTCAGTAGGCTGGAAAGAGTTTAAGTTAGTGCATCGAAAATAATTTCTGGCTTGAGGCATAGCTGCCCTAACAATGTTGCTCTATTTGAATGTGACCTCCAGCCATTGAGTATGTGAAGAAAATCTTGTCTCGTTAAATATTATAATAAGCTTCTCAGTTATGATGACCAGAATAGAACCTCTTCCTATCTGAAGAACTTTGTCAATAACCCAAATATTGAACAGAAAATGTCCTTTTTCTCAAGCAACTATGTAAGGTTTTTTTCAATTTGCTCCCCCCCCTGCCAGATTGAATGTCATTCACTGAGGCCAAGCTTTAGTCCTGTCTATGACTTGAGTCGTGTATGTTTTCACACCGAACTTTTGAACAAAGTTTATAAAAATGCTAACCCCTGAATTATGAGACAGATGGCCCTGGAAACTATCAGTCATATCCCTAAAGATACTCTTCAAATATATAATGTGAGTATATATGTATAAGAGTATATGTATATGATATAAATATATGTATAAGAGTGATCATGGGCATTTTGGTTAGAGGTATCTTCATCAAGACTCCTTCTACTTTTAGAGTTGAAAATTCAAATTCTCGCTCTATGTTTAGATCTGAGCTCATCACTATCAAAAGAGTCCTGATCTATGTGGAAAATACTGCTAAACCTGATTTTATGGATATATGGATCCTACCTAATAGCCAATCATCAGTTCAACATCCAAGTGATTAGGCAGAGGTTAGGGACAGGGCTGGCATATATATCCTGAACTTACTTTCTAGGCTATCGGTTAAATCTGAGAAGTGCGCTCAATGGAGTCCATCCCAAGAGGGCATTAGTGGCAATGAGATTTAGGACTCTATGACCTGCTTTAGAGACTTCCCAGTCAGATATGCTTTACACCTATAATGATGTGTTCAAGTGTAATCTAAGAAATCACTTAAGAATCTCTGGAGTGTCCCTCCAGTACGTGACTGGTAATCAAGAGTTTGCCCTTGTGGCACCCTACTTTTTGGGAACCAATGACGCTAGTAGACTTGCATATCACTTTTTGCCAGTGGACACTCGAGGAGTCTCTACTATGAACAAAAGCAGAAAGTTATTACGACCTGCACCAAGAATAATGCTGACCAAGCATCACTTGATCATATTTTATTTTGTCTTGATTTTACCTTGGATGAGGTTTTTTCAAAATCTCTTCTCTTTTTAGACTTTTTAGAGGTATCTGAACTCATGGAAAATGTTAAACCACTTTGAGGACTAGAAACAACAATAGTTACAGTTCAGTTCAGTTTATATATAGTTAGAGTTCACTTTAATCATGAATTTCCTCTGTTCCATTTATATATATTATCTTCAAAATGCTATATATTACTGCAACACAAACACATACGTTCATATAAAATATATATACTAATTTCTTTGTTTTAATTATTTTTTCTGCATAAAATTTTTATTTTATTGATTGATTTGCAGCAAAGTAGTAATATAACTTAAATGGTTCATTAAAATTGCAAACAGTAACCATAAAATTAATTAAGCAGTAACCATAAAATGGTACATTAAAAAAATTAGAAATACCCACATAATTTTTATGTGATTTACAATTACTTTATCATACATTTTGAGGTTTTATTACAATTATTACATTTTTAAAAAGCATTTAAATAACATTTTTGTCTTTCCCAAATTAGTAAAACTGAGAATTTTTAAACAACTACATTATTTAAAATTTAGGACACTTAACAATTTCTAAATAAAATTAAATACTTTTATTTGCTCCTAACTTTTTCAGAAATGAAAATGCCAATACCTTCCATATGAAGGTATAGCATACAGTTTGGCTGCAATTCAAGCTTTATGCTTTATATATCTAAGATCATATAATCTCAGTTATGGATTTTGCTATGAACCAAATTATTCCTTAAATTTATTTTATTGGTGCACAAAAATCTGCTGCTTGATACATAATTACCATGGTAAACTTGTCATGTGCAAATTGCTACATTTTCATTGACTTTATGACCACCTTTTTGCTAAATACAATCAACTTAAAATTGGTGTATCTTATATGGAAGTTTAAATACTTTGCTAGTGCTATGACTTTTCTACAATAATATATTTTTAACAAAAATAGTCTCATAAATTTGAGGTGCATCTTTTCTAATACGATGTGTTTTACTGTCTAAAATACTACGATATTTTTCTAAAATAGCTGTGTTATGGCATAGAATTTAACCATTCCTTAAATAATAAGCATATTCAGACATTTATTCAATTTAATGGTACAGAATATTAGGACTGTTATAAAATCAACATTTTTTGCATGCAAGAGAATAGAGAACGAGAAAAATACGAATAAATACCTCAGTTACCCATCACAAATTAACTTTCTCGTTCAGAAACATACTAACAATGAAATCAATATGTCACAAACAAATCGCTAGCTTCTAATGCACGATTTTAGTTTTGCGGAATGGGTGCGGCAGCGTCGCCAGACTGGCAGGTGTCAGGATACAGTGACAGGAAGTTTTATGACTCGATAACTCTGCCCTGTATAAATTTTTCACTCGGGATTTCTTTTGGCCAATTAAAATGATTGGATGATCCAGATTTTTTAGTTAGTACCCGGCTTTGGTGTAATGTACACAAAATAAGTTTAACATTTTAAAAAATTATTTTATTTCACAGAAGAAAGGCAATAATTAGAATATTAATGCTATGACTGCAGGAAAATTGTGTCTTCTAGTTAACATGCTAGCCCAGTTACAAAACTGAAGGCCGGGAGCAAAACCCCTTACTGAATCCCCCTCGCCTATATTTTTTTAACATAATAAATATAATACAAATTATATGTAGTATTTTATGAAACCACTTAATAATCTATCATTTTTTATTTAAGGAATAAATATAACTTTACATTTTGTATACTTTGTTTTCGTGATTTATTACGTGTTATATAAAAGCATATCTTTTTTGTGGGGGGGGGGTGATGGAAAGACAAAAGAGTAGGACTTTAAGAATTCTAATTGATTAAATTTAAATCAAAGAAGTACGGCCAGCTTACTACAATCAAATTGTTTATCAGTCAAATTAATTAGCTACATGAAAAAAATGTGGAATTAAAAATTCGGTTTCTTTCCATCACGGAAGAAGATACTTTTTCCACTATCGCACAGAAAAATGCCCTACTGTTTTAAAAATAAAAATAAAAACACAATATTATTCACCGGCCATAGTCAGCAACTCAGTGTCCGATTTTTTAAAAAGACAAGAATAACAAAAGAATAAAGTTTAAAATTTTATTCTTGCGCCTAATTTCATATTTTTAAAAACTTGAATTAAAAAAATCCATAAATATTGAAGAATTCAGAATCCCCCCCCTGAAAGTGAAGGCCGAGGGAATGTGTATTGGTTGCCATCGATTTAATCAATTTCTTTCAAGGTAATAACGAAATACGGTATGGTTTTTAATAGTTTCTTGAATATGGCAAAACACACGACAGCTATCTACCTGAAGGAACGGATATTTTTGTGGAGGATTTTTTAAGGCAACTGGCCCGTATTTACGTTATACCATATGGAAAAACATGAAAATCAATCAGGCAGCTAACGCGTTCGCTTGGGCTCGAATTCGGGTCGAAGTACGACCACGTCGTTTACTTTCATGATCATGTCTATCCAATAATGTATGATTATATAATCAATTCATATGACTTTCTCTATGAAAATTTTTAATTTAAAAATCCTTTACTGCTAAAAATGCCGTGGTCATTGCCAAAAGGTTACCGAACGATTTTGGAAAAATCACCCGAAAGCGAAGAGATTCGAATTACGAGATTCGGAACAAATTGTATATGAAAGTCATATTTTCCCAAATAAAATAATGATCAAAATTCTGCGATAATTAATCTGACCCTTAAGCAGAAGTATGAGGAAAAAATCCGCAAAAAATTAAATACAATAATTTATTTTTTTACTCATTTATAAGCTGAAAAGGGCTGGCTATTACTCTCGAAACGGTATTTTGTGCCGAATCACTATAAACGGCGTATCACTTTTCAAATTGTTGCAACCAAATATTATCGCTAAGAAATTAAATAATGAAGAATCTCCATGAATGTATGCATGTTTCTTGCATTAGGAAAAAACAAAGGTTCCTAGAGCCATCCCATTCTGAGTAACGTAATCCTCCACCCGAAAATGCGCAACTGGAAGCTCGAATTTTGAATTTCGAATTTTATATTTCATATTTTGTATAAAACTTTAACGAGCTTTTGATTAAAAAACTCAACGATTTCAAAGCGAACGGTGGCAACACTGTACGGAATAAGGCATTTTTATCTCAGCGTACGAGACTATTTATCGAAAATTCTACAGATATGCTGTTTTTAAATATTTTTAGCTCAAATGTTCTCATGGGTATATGTGTGTAAATGGAAAGAAAATCTTTGGACGTAATATAAAATATGAAAGCTTTCAGATTTTGTTTTGCAGGTGAGGACAATTTGTTGCAACAATTTGAAAAGTGATACGCCGTTTATTATTGAAAAATTATTGAATTATGTTGTTCATACTTCTGATTAAGGTTTCTATGCCTTTAGTTAACCTACATCCAATAATTATAGAATTATCAGCAATTTAAAAGCTGTTAAAGTGCGGCTAAGCCTAATTTTTGTTTACCATAGCAGCCATATTTGTTTACATTTGAAACGTAGCAGAATAGTGGATTTGTTGCCAATTTAGAGATACTAAGCTTCGCAACAACAAAGTAATGTCTTTTATTATTGAGAATTAAATTATGCTTAATTCATTCTGGAATTAGCATTTATGTTGTTAAATTATCCCATATATTGACTCGGTATAGCGTTCACAACAAATTAAGTCAGTTTCTACGTCTTCAGTGTCTTTTTGTCGAGTGAGATCAAAAGTAAACTTTATTTTGTGCACCGAAACATCGGCCTTCTCACACTCTGGTCGAATTGCTTGTTTCTGTGAAGAAAATAATTTTAATTTCTTTTAATAGTTTTTAACTGTATTTGGTGTTTTAATGTTTTTATATATCTTTAAATTTTTAATATAGATATTTTGGGTTTTTATGTATTTTTGCCTTGTGCGAAGTGAGAACTGAATTAATTGAATGAGAAATATATCTCTAACGAAATTCGATGAAATAAGTTTAAATGAAATACAGGAAAAAAAGCGTGTAATTAATATTCCTTACAAGAAAGTCATGTGGTGCACACATCAGTTTTTTTTTTTTTTTTTTTTTTTTTTTTTTTTTTTTTTTTTAATGAATACCTCTCCGAAAATTTCAACAACAGATCATGGACAGTCGATATAAATTGAATTCTGCGGATCTCAAAACTCCTGGCAAGACCGGGAAAACTGATTTTCAGGAGATCTTTGTTTGATTTCTCTAAAAATAACTATTATTTATCAGACAATATTATATTTCAGTCCAAAAATGGAATTACAGATATAGATTAGCCTAATAAAGCCTCTTCCGAAAATATTAACTGTGCTTAATAAAAATTATCCGATATCTTAGAATTATCAATGAAAATTACCCAACCGTATCCGATATTTTCAGAAAAATCAAAATTGCTATTAAAAGCTATTCTCCGACTATTTTTTAAACTAATAGAAATGCACAGAAATTTTGATTTCTTTAAGGTTGACAACTTCTACCGATGGAGAACCCCAAAGAGCCTTAAACTATTTATAAACACAGAAGGCAAATCTTTGGAAAAGAAAAATGTGGGCATTCTTGACAAGAAGAAGATTAATCCTAATTCGCTGCGTGCTCAAGACTTTCAATCCGAGTTTTTTTTTAATACAAAGCGTGGGTAACGTAATTTCCCGACTCCTCAAATGTGTTGCTTGTCCCTCTTCCCCCCCCAAAAAAAGGCACTTCCCTTTGAATTCAATTATATTGAAGTTTGAATCTACATCCACAGTTTCTGCGGATTCTTTTCTGATTTTAATTTAAATATCCAGAGGATTTTATAGCCTTGGCAGAATGGCATAAAATTGGAGTGATTAATTAATTGCTCAATTGTGCAAAAATTATTCATTTTGAAGCTTCCATTCCTCCAGTCTCATTTAAAATGCTCAGAAACAAGTTCCAACTGTTCATAATTTGGTAATCTAGAGCAGAGTTTCTTAAACTTTTTTCAGTCGCGACACCTTTTTATCACTGAGATTTTTTCGTGACCCCTAGGACCCCATAATATTTAAAAAATTTTCGGCGCCCCCCAGCTGCAGTCCCGCACAGTTAATGAAACCCTGCTCTAGAACATGTTAAAAGCATTAATTTTGCCTGATTACAAACATAGTGCGATAGGAAAATAATTCAGATATTACAGTTAATTGCCGTTTTTAGTTAAATCTTTCAGTGGCTACAAGTTTGGAACATGTCTCGAGAAATTAAGAACGTATTCGGAAAAGCAGCGCATAAACATTTTTATATTAGCGATATGGGATTTAGAAGTTTTAGGGATTACAGATCCTGTAGAAAGAAAAAATAAGATCCTTCTTGAAGAAGAAACTTTGATCCATTTTAATAAAAATTTAAGGGTATGTGAATCAATCAATATATGCTAACCCTTCCTGCTAACTTAATGCAACTAGGGTGACACCCGAAATCAACCTCCGTATCAGGTGGGAGGGCCGGACATGTCAGCTTAGACCTCTTAAAGAGATTAGAACTAGTACTCTTGCTACGCTGGGGTGCCTCAAATCCCTGCGCAGACTTTTTAAGATGGACGTTATGAAGTAGCTTTGCCGTGGTTAGCTGGGCATCCTGCTCATTATGATAAGTACGATATAGCTGAATCGCGACTTCGCACGGTAACAAAACGTTTGTTAAACGAAAATAACTTCGAAGCCTACGATGCTGTATTCCAACAGTGGGAATTAGAAGGCATCATAGAAACTGTTCCAATGGAACATCTGTTTAAGCTCAGTCATTTTCTCCCTCATAGGCCTGTTATCAAGCCATCCAGCAGTACTACGAAAGTGCGCCCAGTGTTCGACGCTTCTTTCAAGCGGCCTGGATATGCTTCTTTAAACGAGTGTTTGAGTGTTGGACCGAGTCTGATACATCAGATACCGCCACTACTGCTGAGATTCCGTTTAGGGCCCTTGGGAGTAGTTGCTGATATAAAGCAAGCTTTTCTGCAAATAGGTTTAAGGGCCGAAGACAGAGATGTACTGAGGTTCTTGTGGTGGGAAGATGCTGAACGCACCAAACTTAAGATTTATAGACACTGCCGAGTGGTTTTTGGCATCACTTCTAGTCCTTTTCTTCTGAACGCCAAAATAAAATATGATTTAGAAATGCAGAAAACCTTCAAAATACGATTGATAAATTGAGAGAAGGGTTTTATGTTGACAACCTAGTCACAAGTGTCATGAACGTAAAAAAACTGGAGCAACTGAAATCTCAAGCTATGCAAGTAATGAATGAAGCGTCATTTGAACTGAGATGTTGGGCTCATTCTGGACTTCAGTGTCAGGAAAGTCAAAGTGTACTTGGCCTTAAGTGGGATACAGAAACCGATGAACTTTACTGCGTTGGTTCTCAAGCTGACATGAAATCTAGTGAGGTTGTAACGAAGAGAATGTTACTTTCCGTTGTTAACAGCATATATGATCCCATAGGCTTTACCTCACCTGCGACACTATTTCCTAAGTTACTACTCCAAGAAGCCTAGAGAAATAAGTTAGACTGGGACGAAGAGTTGCCATCCGATTTGCAATTACGTTATCGAAGATGGGTTAAGCATTTAGATCTTGTTCAGAAATGTCGAATCCCTCGAAGGATATTGTATGGAACTTTCGAAATGGCCAGCTTACACATATTTACTGATGCTTCGTCTCAAGGGTATGCTTGCTGTGCATTTCTACGCTGTGAAGAAAAAGAAGAAGTGAAAGTTTCAATGATTTTGGCAAAGGCTAGAATAGCTCCGGTTAAGAGACCGACAATTTCGCGACTGGAACTTTTAGGAGTTGTAATGGGAGCTAGAATTGGTTCAACAATATTAGAAAATTTGAAATTTTTTGTTTGAAGACATATTTTTGGACGGACTCGATGATCGTCTTGGCATGGATTACAAACACAGAACAATGGAACACCTTCATTGGAAATCGAGTGAAAGAAATCAGGAAACTGACCACTGAAGCCTTTATGCAAGCATTAGGCAGATTTTGGGCAAGGAGAGGAAGATGTTCTATTCTTTATACTGATAATGGTACCAACTTCAAAGGAGCTGCAAACGCTTTGAAATCTTCGGAGTGGGATTTCATTCAAAGAGAATGTGCAGTAATGAAAATCAGGTGGATATTCAGCCCTCCATCTGCCCCATGGTATGGCGGGTTTTGGGAAAGAATGGTTCGTTGTATCAAGGAACTTCTTCGAAAGTGTTTGGGAAAATCCTGTGTCACATATGAAGAAATGTTGACTTTGCTCACTGATTGTGAGGCCACTATAAATGGACGACCATTGACATATTTGTCAGACGACCCTAACGAATTGAAACCACTTACGCCTGCTCACTTTATTCAAGATTTAGGGGAACGATTTTAAAGCCATTGATTTGGATTAAAATTAATGACTCTCAGCACTTACTGAAACGTGTACGTTATCTTCATACTTTACGGCTAAATCTACGAAAACGTTTCTATAAGGAATATCTTGGAGAATTAATAAGAAGTCCTAAATCATCTTCACGAAGAAAAACGATTTCTCCAGAAGAAATTGTTCTAGTTGAATCAAAGAATCCAAACAGGATAAATTGGCCTTTAGCCCAGGTAACTGAACTGTTTCCTGTTAAAGACAATATTGAACGTGTTGCAAAACTACGAGTCGCCAATGGTGAAGTCATAACAAGCGCAATGAATATGGGGAAAAAATTTCCAATAACATAACAATTTAAAAGAACGAATTTAGAAATAAATGGAAAGCTGAAAAAGAATACATCATTTTTCATTCCCGCCAACCTAGATAAACATAGGCAAGGGATGCAACGTTTTCTGCCCAAAAATTCGATAATAGTCCGTGAATAAACACGAATTTAGAGTTTCCGCAGCACATTTTTATTATTTTTGCAATGACGTTTGTCTGTGTGTGTGAAGATTTTTTCGTCCACGATAACTCTTATATCAAACTTCCAAAAATTTATATTTTCCGTATTTAAGCTTTCTGCATTCACATAAAGAGTTGATCAGATTTTGGGTAAAACTGGACAACCGAAAAAGGTACTTTATTTGTAGCCCACTACAGTTTTAATCAAAAACTATATTAGAATATAATCCAAAACTTTTCAGCTTTAGTATTTAAGTTTTATATCAATGAAATAGGTTAGATTTAGATTAAAACTGATAAACAGAAAGTGATACTTTACCTGCAATTCTGAACAGATTTTCATGAAAAAATATACTGTGATACAATCCAAAACTTCCTAAAATTTGGCATTTAAAACCTGTAAATACTTATGCGATGTATATACAATTATGACTGATATATTAGAATTTGAGTATATGATAAACTGGAAGTGGCACTTTACTTGGAACTTTTAACAAATTTTTGTGAAAAAATATAGAATTACTATAATAACAGTTTAATCTAAAATAATGCAGTGCATATTAAACCATTTCTATAACATCTAGACAAAATATTTACTTATATAAAGTCGTAGAATTAAGAATGATTTAACGTTTCACTTGCAGAACTTTAAAACGCTTGTAATGCAGGCATGCTATCAAAAAAAACGCACTTGTTGCACTGTTGATGATGACGAAGCACAAGAGCAGACAGCAAATTCAAAAAACCCTATTGCCTTACTTTTTATTGATGAAGGAACGCACGGTAGTCACTATTCAGATGCAATTCCAAAAACTAACGAACATTGCATACTGATATCTAAATATCGCGGGGATATATGTGCAGATCAAAATGAATTTGGATTTGTTGATACTATAGGAAGAGCATACATGAAAATTAAATTATGGTATCTGTTTCAACGTATTTAAATATATTATAAAAAAACTTAATTTTTTAATTAAAAACGAATCAAACTACATGTTATTCAACTGCCCAATAAAATACAATTTTTAATAAAAAGAAATAAAGAAACACATGTCCATCTTGGCGAATTATATCTAATAAAATATAACCCTAAATTTCGTATTAAAGACCGTTCTATTTATTAGAAAATTAAATTTTGTTTACAAACGATCAGCCTGAACTGACATTTTACTTAATGTTCGTTGCTATGTAAAACAATAAATTAATGAAAGGTCATGTGCAGGCCACATCAAGATAGCAATAATATTATTTCTACTAAGGATATATCAGTTCGGACTGCTTTGTAACTGGGCACTTGGAACTTATCGCAAATGAACTGAAATTCTAAAAACGATACGCATTTAGTTTAAAATGTATGAGAATTATGCTGCACTTATTGCTCGATTATTCGTGAGAAAAGTATTTATGTATCATCCTCCCAAAAGGCTAATACTTGACCAAGATACAATAGATTTGCAACTTTAAAAATAAATTCAAGACTTTTTATAACAAAAAACACATTGCTAGGGCTCATAATATAATTAAAAAGCTTATTAATAATTCATGACTGGGAAAACTGATAACTCATCAGACAAAATTCATTCTACTAATGAATAGGTAAAGCACTAAATTTCTTGTTGATCAAATGCTTGAAAATATAAGCAAAGGAAACACAGAAATTTGAATGGAAGGAAAATGTGGGCTATAGAATTTTATCACATAAGCTATCCTTGATGCAGTGGTTAATTAGAAAAGAGTGAAGAGTATAATGAAAAGACAGTATGGTTGCAATGGGATACTACAAGTGCAGAAAAGTTGTGAGATTATCAAGTTAAATACACTGCATTTAAATTTAATGGAACTGTACCTTTACCATATCATTTGAAAGAATGTCAGCCTAGCTGTACACTTAAAATCGTAGAAGAATTTATTTTTTACGCTACTCGTGGATTAATCATAATTTTACAGAGCGATTTTCTGATTATCGGAGACGATTATGATGAAAAAGAAAATGTAACTTACAGTATATATGCCACCAAAAACACCTGAATCATATCTTGAAACCTGTCACAGTAATACTAACAACCTCTAGAAAACAATTCCGCTATTTCGTTGCTATCATCACGGCCACCTCAATATTACTACTACTACAACTACTACAATGCCGGCACAGTTTTTCAAAGGAATAATTCAGAACAGTTTGACGTAGGCGAGCGCCAGACAATGAATAAACCTGAATGTTACGAAATCGAAAACAAGCCACTCCCACTAGCCAATCACAGCGCAGCCGACGCTGATGTCATTTCACATATACACGTATCGATTAATTTTCAGCGATTAAAAACTTCTAACAGAATATCTTTTCAGCACGAACTCACGAGAAAGCTCAGAAATTGAAATCCGACTTAGTTTCATGAGCGAGTAACATTTATTTCGGTCGAAGAAATATGAAAATAGTACACATTCACGACGCTATTTTAAATCAAACGTAAAGAATGGAAAATACAAAGATAGTTAGTATGAATGGAACGTAAAAAATAACTATTAAACTATGCCAGAACGTTGGTTTTTGACCACTCATTAAAATATGTGCGTTAATTTATAAAATTTATGTCATTTTTATATTTTGTTAGTAACAGTTCAACAAGATTTACTATAATTTGAACAAATGGCTGGAAATACTGAATTAATAGATGAAAGAAATGTGTGCTAATAATGAATTTTAATAGTTTTCAATTCTAAATTTTAGTTTTATTGCATCAGCTAAGAAGGGACTAATATGTTTAAATAATTTCGATCATATTAGCTAAAAAGATTCTCGCTTTTAAAAAATCGACAAACACATGCCTTGCTTTCCCCGACGTTTTGGTTAAAATCGTAGCTCTGCCAGATTTTTAATAAACCTATAAATATACTTTTTAGACAATTATAAATTATTCTTCATAACCTAAACGTATATCAATATAATACACGCCAGGATAACTACGAAATTGGATCGTTCGACTTGTTCGTTTTATATCGATGTCTTTAACATTAAAAGATTTATAAAAAGTGTGCGTGCGGTATAGAGAAACATCTCAGTAAGACAGCTTTTCAGGCTAATGTGCGAAGGCATTGATGACAGAATATTTCTGATATGCCGAAAAAATATTTTTTATAAATAACATGCGGAAAAAGAGACATCTAGGTTAAGCAATGACACAAAAATATACTAAATTGTGATACAAAACTGAGTTATGAAATGCAGTAGAAGCAGATGATTTAAAGACAAGGGGTAGAAGATCAAAATGCTTTGTCAAGATGACTTCATTAAAAAAAACTATTCATAGTGCAATTGCGGCGAAATATGGTTTAGCTCTAATAAATGAGACTAAATTTTTTTATCGGTTCAATTATTGAAGAATAATGATAAGCTCAAGAATGTTTCTCTTCTCTCGTTCCGCTTGGGTGATCCCAGTGTCCCATTTTTCACTAACAGAAATATACTCAGCCTATTTTAAGAAGAAATTGTGCAGATTTACAGTTCTCCATCAGAACTAAATACAAGGAAAATACAATATTTCAAGCTCCATTGAGTAAAACAGATTCATTTCGAACTACTCCTTGTAACCAGATATTTGGTTACCTGATTTCTCTCCGTCTCCGACAATAAAATTAATCTCGCATTTTGCTAAGACATAGGAAATTTAGAAATATGAACAAAATATAGAGCAGTACATCTAAAAATTTAAAATTTCATAAGGTATTTTCTCCCTTCTTCCAGCATGCCTTCGCGATGTAACGGTAGCACACTCGGCGCGTATTCATGAGGTTTAGGCTCGAGTCTCGGCGAGAGCATTCCTCATTTTTTATGTCTTCTGCTTCAGAAAAACATAATGAGCGCGAACTAAATTTGGTGGACGATGATTCTTTGTTACCATGATTTGGCGATTGGGTCCCTTAATCCCCAAAAGGGGGTTTCTCCCTTTTTCCAAAATGTCTTCGTGGTGTAACGCCGCGTATTCGAGAGGTCCAGGTTCGAGTCCTGGCGAGGATATTCTTCTGTCTTCTTCCTGTCTTCTGCATTCTGTCTTCTTCCTGTCTTCCTGTCTTCTTCCTGCATTCTTCCTGTCTTCTGCTTCGCAATATCCTAATGACTCTACAATTTCTTAAAGAAAATGACGCTATAAACCATAACCGCGGCGAAATTTATGTTTTTCCCACTGTTTCATGACCTTACCGAGGTGAGTATATATCCCGAATTTGACTGCAGGATAATAATACGCAATAAAAAGGATTACGCCATGAATAATATAGTCTTTAAAATGTCTGCCTTTGGAAAAGAAAAAAACTGGTTTGGAATCGCGGACAGTCGTTTTTAAAGCCTCTTCCAATTTAGTGGTTCAGTTTTGCTTAAGTGATGGTTTTAGTCATATAATTCTATACATTCTGCTCAGGAGCAGAGGCTGAGACACACATATCTAGAGGCTGATACACACATATCTTAGATATGTGTGTATGTGTGTCTCAGCCTCTGCGGTAAGTTTATTCCAGTTTGTCATATTTGGATGGTTAACGTTCTATCTATTAAAACAGCGTCATTTCATCCCAACATCATGAAGCTCAAGATTAATACGGATGGAAAAGGAAAAAAAACCTTAAGCCGAAAGTTTAGAAAAATCGGCAAAACATCTGCATACACTGAAAAAGGCGGAGAAGAGATGTAGAACAAATGATGATTTTTAAAAATACCTTGCATATCCTTCTAACAATAAAAAAAAAAAAAAAAAAAAAAAAAAAAAAAAGAAAAAGAAAAAAGAAAGAAAGAAATGAATTTGAAATACAAATTTTAAATGAAGTTTTAGTTTCCTTTTATCAAATTCTTAATGAAATAAAAAGAAAAACGCGATAAAGGATTCTTGACTCATTCTTCTAAAAGTAACCAAATCTTCATCCAATTATATTTCATGATAGCTCAGATAATCCTCAGTATTTTCTTTCACCCCCTTGTAATCTTTAGTTTGGACTCTCGTGAAGTCACTGAGAATGAACCAAGGTTCATCTGTGATTTCTTCGTTATGAAGCGTTGAGTCATTCATTTTACAATAGGTGCCTTTTGATTATTTAATTGAAAACAATAACAAACATGATTCAAACAAATATTAAATATATTACACAATAGCGGATCAATCTATAACGTCTTATCATATCATCGTTCCGTTCTGTTTGTTCTAAATGTATTTTATTCCCCGTCGCCGGAAAGGCCAAAAGCAGTTTATCCCTTTAGGGAATTTTAGTTGGAATATCATCTTCCAGGACTTATCATCTTCAAGTGATGAAGTCGTCGCAGCTGAATAACACCCACGCAAGTATGAAACTGCATTCCGCGTTCGATTAGAAATAAAATACTGCATCGGCCTGAATGCAAGATATTTATATCATTTAATAATTTTTTATCTAAAGTAGCCAAAACATATAAACCTCTAATTTTGGTTGTGGTTAGCAAGGGTGTCTTAAGTGAAAACTCAAACTAGGCAATTTCTAAAACAACTTCCGCAAGTATGCGTGAAATTGAAAAGCTAATAAAGTAATAAATTAAGATATTTTAAAATATTTTATATTAATTTGATACACAAATAAATATTTTATATTAACTTGGCAGAACAATTTTATGTTAAGTTTAATTATGGAAAACTTATACATATTAACATAGTTTAGTAAAATAAAAATATACTTTTGGATTTACTATTTACAGAATGTATGCCCCCATTTATATAACGTAATGGCTTGGTTTCGTTTTACAACGATTCGATTTAAAACTCTGTACGAACTCAACGCCTGCGTTTCATGAATTCTGCATCATTTCAAAACATAATCGTGATCATGATTTCCTCCCACGCGAAATCAGTATTTGCTGCCACTAATAACATCTTAACAAGAGAGGCAAAATTGTTTAGAAACAAGACATCTAACATTCCGTTCTTCACAAAGGCGCCGATCCTTTAAACTAATTTTCTCTCAATCAGGTACGTTTAACGCTCCAATTAATAACTTGGCCGACCACAAATATTAGTTTCCGGGGTTCAATTTCGTAATATTGTCGCGAGTTACGGGCATGGGCCTTATAAGAAATAGACTAACCCAGTGGGCGGGGCGCGCGTCACCGACATGTCGGCAAGAAAGAGTAGGGACGATCTGGTTTACTTTAACATTGAAACCTATGGCGTTTGTATCACATAAACTCTTTTAAATTATTAAATGTGATACGTTGTATAGTGAAGATTATATGAAAGCCACAGTTTTTTCCAAATAGGATTTAATATATCTCATTAAAGCACTTTTTACTGCATTTCGCGCATTTTTTTCACGCGTAATTCTTGTATAAACTTCTTTACTTTGGTAAAACGGTTAAAAACTCTAAGCACAAAATTTTATGAACTTAATTTTGCGTAAAAAATAAGTAGTAAAATTAAATAAGATTGATAGTGCGTGGTGCTTTGAAATAAATAAGGTAAAATTAAACAAAGTCTGATAATTTTTTTTTAATTTAATGAAAATTTTCAGGCAGTGATTTTCCAGACTATAATAACATTACAAAACGATCGTATTTATTTGATTATATGATCATTAAATTGTTAACATTAAAGTGGATTAGTCATTTTAATAATTCATAAAATTCGGAGCATAAAATATTCTAAGCGTAATGAAGGGGAAAAAAGATAAAATAAATATAATAAATTGTGCTATAATATCATCTATAATTTTAAAAAAAGCAGCACAATTTAGAATTTTAAACAAAACTTTCAAAAAATTCGTTTTTAAATATTTTAGTACTTTTTACTTATTTACACCAATGAAAAGGATTAAAAATTGCAAAAGAAAATTTGCTTGTTTGAAATTTTCTATAGTTCAGATTTAAAATATTATTTTCTAAAAGAAGTAGTTACAAATTTCCTTACAGCATACGAAAAGCTAAAAAAATATCCAACCCTGAAAGCATGCAATAGCTTTATAATTATTTGAAACGTTAATTATGCTTGATAAATATGCTAAAGTTTTAAAAATCAATCTCAATTTCAAAAGTAAAAATTATATAGAAATTCTAATTTCTGAAATGAGGCGCTACATACAGCTTTTTCTCGATAACTATACACGCTGCAATAGTCAACCAATGTTAAATTTT